TTTAAAACTTGAGCCAGAAACTGATAATCTAGTTTGCTTGACCTGATCAATACTTATGTATCTGCACATCCTTTCTCCCTATAGTTTTGCTACTTCCCCATATCAGCGGTTTTTAGTCCGAATGACAATGGCAAAAACTAAAAACCGTCCACTTTTATTCTTAGTTGAAGCTGTAGTAAAAATTTCAGACTTATAGCTCACGTGACTTTTGCATAGGCGTGCGCAAAAGTTGTGGTTAAATTTTAGCGTTTTTTGTTGAATAACTTTGCACGTGTGGCTTATATTTAGCTCACATTTGACACCTAATTGTAGGTTGTAAAGATCTATCAGTGTACCCAACTTTAAAAAAATACATAAAAGTTAAATATGGTGTTATATTAAATAAAGTTTCCATACTTTCCTTTGCGAAGAAACAAAATACAGGAAAAAATTCAATCAAAATTGGAGATTTTGTATGTCGTGTATTTCTTAATGGATTAACTTGAAATTTGACATATGAAGTAAGGGTCCAGCAGAGAACATCTACTGAAAATATGTGATAATTTGGATTACCACAGTCTGAGCTACAGAAAGTGGAAAATCGCTAAACTATCACTCCTGTTAATGACACACAGTGTGTCCTGCAGGTTGTTTTGGCCGCACGACACACTACAGTGTGTCTTGATTTTCTAAAAGATATTGTTACGACAGCGGTAGTCACGTGACTCTGGTAACACGTCATGATATTCTAGAAGATTCACGAAGAAACGAGATGTACGCTTTTTGTATATATAAGACCGGTAAGAAGTGGCGGCAACAATGGAAGTCCAATACACTTAATTTCCTCAGTCACGCTATAGCTTAAACAAACGCTATAATTCACAACGAACAATTCACGCGCTTCACTCAATTGTCCGTCTCTATCTCTGTCTGCAATTTTGTCGGGAGATTACTAGATATAGGGTAGTCTGGTATATATAAGATGGTGACAACGTGACGGGACAGTGTGTAGGTAGTGAGTAATTGAACTGCAGTCAGAAAGTATTGTTGAAGTTAACGTCGTTTGTTATAGAGCGGCTGTTGAAAATAAGTGTATCGGTAAAGTTATATTCAGAAAGAATAAACCAGTTTTATTAAGAAAGGACTTGTGTCGCTAAAGTTTCATGGGAACGAAGTTACGGAAAATCAACTAACGAACGGAGACGTAACACTATGCTTCTGACAGAGGATCGCTGATGGTATCTCGCTTAAAAGGGTGCATGGGTTTTAATCACTAAATTATATACCTACATAAAATTGAATGATTCCAATATGTCTTGGTTCCCTGTGTAAACACCAATACCTTTCTAAAAACACCCAGTAAAAACGGTAAAGTTTCAGTTAGTTAGGTTCTAAATGGTAAAAATATTGTTACGCTTCTGGTCGTTTGTTAATTACCCGTAAAAATTCTTTCGGATAAACTTCAGCCATACAAGTTCTTTCTTAAATAAAACTAGTTTATTCTTTCTCAATACAACTTTGCAATACACTTAATTTCCACAGTCACTTTAAGTTAAACACACGCTATAATTCACAATGACTTACATACTTTACTTACGGCTTGACTCGATTATCTGTATCTCTCTGTCTGCTGTTCAATTATTTATACCGTCACTTCTCGCCAGTCTTATATATACAAAATAGAGGGCGTCTGGCAAACACTCGAGCCTTCAGGAACGTTCGAGTTACTCATTACGTGTTACCAGCGTCACGTGACTTCCGCTGTCGTAACAATATGTTTTGGTTTGTTTTGAATTTCGCGCAAAGCAACACGAGGGCTGTCTGCACTAGCCGTCCATAGTTTAGCAGTAATAGACTAGATGGAAGCAGCTAGTCAACGGCACCCACCGCCAAGTCTTGGGCTATTCTTTTATCAACGAATAGTGGGATTGGCCATTACATTATAACGCCCCTACCCTACTGCTGAGAGGGCGAGCATGTTCGTTGCGACAGGGATTCGATTCGAGCGCCCAAACCACCAGGCCTTGCTAAGTCGTAGAAATATGTCGTTGTATATTTCAACATATAAGAAAGCATATTGTTACGCCTCTGTGTTCGTTTGTTAATTTTCCGTAAAAAATTCTTTCCGAAGAAACTTTAGCGATACAAGTCCTTTTTTAAATAAAACTAGTTTATTCTTTCTCAATACAACTTTGTTCCCGAAGGTTCGAGAGAAGGAGTGGCGTGATACTAGTCACGTGACCTCGCTGACGCAACAATAGACTTAAGAAGGCTTAGATAGTGCTTAATTAATTAAAGAACAATTTATTGATAACTTAAATAAATCCACATAATATCATCTTTAGGTAAAGAATCACGTTATAAGTTCAAACGGTCTTGTAAACAGATTAATGATAATTACTGAACTTTCATCTTCTATTCAAAACTACAATTAACATTTGTCCAAATAACACTTCATATAACGTTTTAAGTACTAAATACCATACAGTGTGATCTAATAAAAGATTGCTGAGTATGGACTCATTTAAATGGATTTGATACCTGTGGTAGGCACAGGACAGATAGCCCACTGTGAGCTTAGTGCTATAATGGAATCAAGTTCGGCTAGCTTTCACTATGGCATTTTTTTCAGCTATGCCCATTTCTTTTTTTTTTCAGAAACGCATTGTCTTCAGTACACAGCTCATCAAGCCTGCTATTTCAGTTATTAGGGGCATCACCAAGGTTTCGAACTTCTTCCCTTCGCACCATAAATAAATGTTAGTTCCATGATCCATTTTATTGGTTAATAGCGAAACAAATATTCTTAGTACAACTATAACGTGTTTATTAAGTGTTTTGAACGGCCAGCAGTAAAGTGTGAATGGGCAAGTATCATACTGTTACGTCTCCGTTTGTTAATTAATTTTCCGTAACTTCGTTCCGACGAAACTTAAGCGACACAAGTCCTTTCTTAATAAAACTGATTTATTCTTTCCGAATATAACTCTGCGATACACCCAACTTCAACAATCGCGTTAAAACAAACGCTAATCAACGAACGTCAACAATACTTCCGACTGCAGTTCAGTTACTCACTATCCATACACACATTACATTCCCCTCTTTTATATACCAGCGTACCCTATTTCTAGTAAGAACTTGAACATTCGCCAAAGTACATGATACTTCTAGAAACGTTGCGTCACGGTGGTCATGTGACTCGCTGATGCAACAATACTGTTCTACACAGTACAAACCAGGCATATGTAATATTGTAAAATCATCTTATTGATAGGATTGTTTGTTTTTTAATTTCGTGCAAAGCTACATGAGGACTATCTGCGCTAGCTGTCCCTAATTTAGCAGTGAAAGCTGGAAGGCAGCTAGCCCACACCACCCACTGCCAACTCTTGGGATACTCTTTTACCAATGAATAGTGGGATTGACCATCCATTATAACGCCCCCACAGGCCACGGTTGAAAGGACGGGGATTCGAACCCGCGACTCTCAGCTTGCGAATCGAGCACCCTA